CTTAATATATTTCAAAGCTGCACATGAAAACCTCATTAAATTTCAAAGAGAAAACCGCCCAGAACTCTAGTGTCTTTGGGAGACTTCCCAGATGGCCAATTCTCAGATTGCACGCTGATGTGTCTACACGGGCCTAACCTGCCAGGTCCTCCTCGTCAAGACAGTGTGTAGGAAAAGGTGAATCGTTGCCTCAGTGGACCCAAGGTGTGTTTGACACCATGGGTTTCCTTCCAGTTCTCTTCCTTAGTTGTACCTGGTCCTCGCTCTCAACCGAGAGTGTCTCTCCTTCATCCTGTGAATGTACCAAGGGATGCCCCTTGACTTCGCACAGGCTTATATCCAGATAAATTCATTGCAAGCTGATAATGTCTGATGTCCAATATGCTCCTCATCAACTGAACATTATGGTCCTTCCTGGCCTACATTGATCAGAATACCTATGCTAGCCTGCAGTTGTGCAAAATCATCTAACACAGGGTCTAATTTATAATAGTATGGAGTGTTTCATGTGATTTACTGAATGCCGTACTCAGAGCAGAAATCAGAATAATTGTATGAGTGTGCTTTTGTGTCACATAAAGTCAAAACATTGTAAGTCAAATGTTGGTAAGCTGAGGGCACTGTAGTTTAAACTACAGGAGGAATTTGTCCTGTCTTACCCATTCATTAGCACTTACTGACTTTAGGGATTTGGGATGCACTTTCTTCCTGAATTTACTTCCTGTAGTCATTTTATGAAGGATGCGTACTTACACAGACACGAGACACACAGAACACCAGTCAGACAGGAGAACAGTCACGGTAAAAACACTAAATGTGCAGCACAAAGAGGGTCCTGAAAGCTGCTAGAGAAAACAAGTCAGATATAAAGGAAACCATCAGAATTAGAGCTGACTTTTCAATGTCAGTTCTAAAAGGCAGAGGAGCCTGGACCAAAGCATCCCCGGGAAGTAAACTTCTGAAAGAATAATAATGAGTGATGAAGAACCCCGTGTGTTTTACTGTCTCCTTGGATCTGATACATTGTCCGCATTTCAGTAATTAGTGTGTCAGTGGACGAATGGCTGTGCCTCGAAGGCCATTCGAATTGGCCATTTTGAGCAGGGATGCACTGTGATAGGAGCTGTGTGTTATGAAAACCATTCAGTGATGTCGCAGCAGAGAAATAAAAGGGAAATCCGGTGTACCGTCGTCATAGCGACACGGGCTCCTGACGCTCCTGAGAGCCCTCTTAAGTAATCCCAACCTCACTCCAAATAATTTGGGAACTCAGTGTTTTACACGAAATATGTAATAGTTTCTCAAGTTTACCTCAAAAGGGACTGTTCTAGTCTGCCTTCTGTTACTGTGAGTGATAAACATCACACCCCAAAACGTGCTGGGAGTGTCATGGTATATTTTATGTCACAGGTTACGATCCATCCTAGGGGCAGTCAGGGTAGGAGCTCGAGCAGAGGTCATGGAGGAACAGTGCTGACTGGCTTGCTTCCTTGACCCGAGCATCTCCTTTCGTGTACAGCCCAGCCCACCTGCCCAGAGATGCACTGTCCCCCACGGTCAATAAGCAATTGAGAAAATGCCTTTGCAACATATTTTTGAGCCGATCTGATGGAGGAAATACTCAGTTGAGGTTCTCTCTGCCCAGGTGACTCTAGTTTGTGTCAGGTTGACAAAAACCAACCAGCGCAGGGACCAACTGCTAATTATATCCCTTTAAAAAGGGCTAAGGAAAGTTAAATGTAACTCACTGCACACTGGCGCTGCCTTCTCAACACAGAACAGGCAAGCTTTCCAACTGCTGTACTGTATGAGGACTATGTACAGCCTAATACTGTGTTACGTGTTTTTCATTTGAAGAAGCTCATGAATCACCAGTATCCAGGGCAGTATCCTGGGCTGTACATGATTAATTCAACATACCCCCAAGGGATTCTTGTTTCCTGGGTGAAAAACTGGACAGAAGTCAATATAAACTTGTGGTTTCCTGTGTTCCTCTGTAACAAATGGTCACAAACTCTGACTGAAATGTCGCCCAGTGTACTAGCTCACAGTGTTAAAGTCAGGGGCCCAGCCCTGCTGGCTGAGTTTCTGTTCAGGGTATCACAAGGCTGTAGTTAAGGGTGGGCAGGCTGAATTTTTCTTTATAGGATCTGATTACTAAAAATCTGTCTCCAAAGGCAGAATTCTGCTCTTTGTGGATAGAGGTCTGAAGTCCTCTCTTCTTTGCTGGAGAGGCACCTTTTGCTTCTGAAAGCTCCCCCAACTCCTGCCTTGTGGCCCCTTCCATCCTCAGCACAGCAGTGATGTGTCAAGTCCCTTCTCATGCCCCAACACTCCTCCTTTGATCTCTAGACTAAGATTCAGAAGACTTAGGAGACATGCTAAGCCTGCCCACATAATCTGCGTGAAAGTCAACTGTGTTACTTAATAAGCCACTCATGGGCACAAAAACAGTCACAGGTTCATATCTGAAATACCAATATATGTGCAGTATAGTCACCAGTTGGGAGAGATCTTGGGGCTATCTTATAATTCTATTGAAAACATTGGTAAGTGATTACTTGCATGGAATAGCGTAACTCAGGAGAATAAAGAATTTAATATTTTATTAGAAGGCCAGTAGACTTTTATTTTTTAAAGGTTTCTTTTAAAACAATATTTAATTTGTTATGTGTATGTGAGTGTACGCCTCCATGTATGTACGAGTACCACCTATGTGCCTGTTAGCTGCGGAGGTCAGAAAAAGGTGTTGAATTGAGTTACAGACGGTTGCTGAGCTGTTATGTGGGTGCTGAGAACCAAATCCAGGCCCTCTGCAAAAATAGCCTGTGCTCCTAGCTGCTGAGTCATCTCTTCAGACACACCAGGATATTTTTAATGAGGTTCAGTTTTAATATTTGTCCTTGGTAGTTCTAATACAGTTGTTTTCAAATTTTACTGCTGTGTAATTGATTCACTTCTAAATATTACCAACCATTTACTTTATCAAACAGCATAAAACAAAACAAAATTGAAACTTTTTTTTTCCTAAATCTATTACGGGAAATTTGGAGGTGGTTACTGTTTGTGTAAGGAGGGATAAACAATAGCTTATAATCTTTACATAAACACCATCTGGCCAAAAGAGTTTAAACCATGAGCTCTTTGAGATCACTTGAGTGGTAAAGTAACCCACCTTTCAAAGCTATTTTAGACTGTGGATTTACAGAGGGAGAATAAGTGAATCTAACCAACTGTATAGGTGTCTGTCAAACTGAGGGGAAACCAGCAACCTCAATTCTGATGCCAGTTGTGAGTTTAGGGGTTTCCAAAACCATTCTCAGGTTTGGCAGTTTGCTTTAAAGATTCGTAGGGCTCACTGAAACTTCTTATATTAACAGTTACTGCTCACTGCAGTGGAAGAGTACAGATTAGAATCAGCCAAAAGTCATAAGGCAGCAACTGCCGAAGTACTAAGCATAGAGCCTCCCTTGTCAGGAAGTATGTTCTTGACACCAACATGTGACAAAATGCACAGAGCACTGTTAACCAGGCCGCTCACTTTAGCCTTTGGTGCTCAGAGTTTGTACTGAGACCTATTCACATCCTGTCCAAGGGGCTGACCTTTAATCTCAAGCCTTTGCTAGATGCTGGTGTTGAGCAGATATCTTTAGTCTGGATCCCCCTGGGAGGGCAAAACTGGTATTTCATAGACCAAACCCCCCCTCACAGATCACATTGGTAGACTGCAGGTTGGCCAAAACTCCCAGGCAAAGATATGTCCTAATGCTTTGAGTTTGATGGCATTATCTCATAATATTGAAGGAGAAATCCACCTCTTTTCAGACAAAGTTGTGTCTTTAGTACATTGAAAGGGTGGGAGGAAAAGAGATTCCTTAAACCATGTCCCTTGGTCTTAGAGGTATAGTGTGCATGCTAAGATTGCCTCCGTTATTTCTTTCAACAAAAGTATCACATACCATAGTTATTATTTAAAAGACAGTGTATCTATCAAGATATAATTTTCTAAAACCATGTAAAGACATAGTGGAGAAGCAGAGTTGAGCCTCTATGAACATAATCCCAAAGGACATGTTCCCAAATGCTTAACTGTACTGTGTCCACCAAAACCAAAAGATGGTTGCTCAGCCTGGCAGGACAGTTCTCTCTCCTCTTCAAAGAAGCATCTTTTTGCAGTGGATGGCAGTAATACAGAGATGCACAACTTGTCAAAGTCCAAAGTCCAAATGTCTGTTGAGTACTCAGTACCAAATAGAACATGTATATCAGATCCCTTGCCCACAAGGCTCAGGGAACATCTTGAAAGAAAGATGGGGCGGTAAGACTGTATGCCCCAGAAATCGGGAAGATTGCTGTGAAACAGGGTCTTCTACACACGGAGGGCTCACAGCAGCTGTGATTGCACAAACTGGCACAAGATCACACCAGTTAGCAGAAGCTTGCATGGGAGATGGAGGAGCTCATGAGGTCCCACCCCTAACTGAGGATCTCTTGACAGTGGAGTGCTTGTGAGGGAGAGTCAGTTGTCTTTGGGGCCTGGCCCCTGGTAGCTCAATCGTACTCCAGTGATTGGCCTCAAACCACTGCACATTTATGTGGGACTAATTTTGGACTCCATGTGTTATAAAAGCAGCATTTATAAAGTTGAGTGGGACATGGAAGAGGGTCCACAAGGAGCTGAGTGTGTGTGTGTGGTGGGGGGGGGTAGATACAATCAAAACATCTTTTATACATGTTTGAAATTCTCAAAGAGTAAGTCAGAAACTTTAAAAATCCAAAATACCATACTGAAAAAATAAGAGATTAGAAGCAGTTGTACTTGAGTATTAAGTATTCACAATAAAGTTGTCATTCATATTGTAAGATGCTGTTTTAATAAAGTAATATATAGACCACGAAGAAGGCTGTATAGAACAGTTAGTTCATTGACTCTGTGTCTTGGAAATGGACTCCATTCACCACTGGGTCACTTCTCTCAAGTACATTCCTGTGTGTTCTAGGTGCCGTGCTGGCCACTGTTGACCCAAAGATGATGGTGAAGATGTTCCTGCCCACAAGGAGTTAGCAAGCCACTGGGGTATGTAAAACACTGCTTTTATTATTGCTGATATAATAATGTTGGTTTCAAGTCAAACACAATTATCTTCATATATGAAGTATCTTACACATACACTTTGCCAACACTTGCAACAATGATTTTTGGACTGAGTGAGTCAATGCTAACAAAAGTTGCATCATTTGGAGATTGCTGTTTATATAACCCAATCAAATGATTAAACTTGGGCTCAGTTTTTAAGTAGATTCTATAAAAGTTGGGTTAAACAGAAACTATGAAAATAAACAACCACCACTGGGCTTGAGGATTCCCTACCCTCCTGTACAACTGAAGGGAGCTCGGGAAGGCCACCTCATGCAATGAGGAGCAGCAAGTGCATTTCTTGTTCATGTATTGATGACACTGCTTCTTACAAATTATTTCAGTGAAAATTATCCTTTTACCTTCCTGTATTTTCCTGAATGAGCATAGTCAATATTGAGCTAAAATAGGCCAAGTTTTTCATAAAAGTATGTGCTTTATTTGAGTCATGATAAAATAACAGTATTTTGCAATATTTTTTGTGTATAACCAACCATGCGGGCAAAGAACTGACTCCAGTAACTCCAGTAAACACAAAAAGAAAAGATAACTGTTTTAATCATATCTTATTCATTTTATAGTTTAAAATGACAGCAGAATAAGAAAATAAAACAGGAAATTTCATTCCAAAGCATCTAGAAGTTAGTCCCTAGTGGTGCTGTGCTGTGCAACCTTTGCACTAACATACCCAGACATAGTCGATGAGTGTCTTCACACACTTTCTAGGTTAAGCCTCCTGCATGACTAGAGCACCATTATTATTTTAAAATGTGAGCAATAGAGGAACATGTCTCTTTCCTTGGCAATATGATTTTAATTTTTAAAAGCATTTAATTTCACAGACCATATCCATCATCTTTGCATAGATAAATGTTGTGGCAAGTTTTTGAATGAACCTCTCCATTCCCTCGAGAAATTATGGATGCACTATAAATTCACAGATGAAAGACCATTCATCAGGGTTATAAATATGAGTGGTTCTCATGTTGATGCCCATGTAAACTTAAAGTGGTTTAATGTCTATTGACTGTGGTGAATAATTAGAACCGAAATGGAGTGTACAGAAAGTGTCATTCTTTTGCTGGGCTCTAGAACTCACCTGGTGGTGACAGCAACATGCAATATTTTCTGGATAGCATGGCATTTCTTTGAATTAGTGCTGGCCATAGAACATAAATCAGCCTTAATAATCTAGTCACTTAACCTAAGATGCTTACTCTTAGTGTTTATAGAGCCAGTTCAAAGGAAGGGGTGAGAGTTCTAAACCCCAGCAGTTACTTTTAGGGACTCTCATAATTTTGTCAGCCAAATTTGGTCAGAATTGAAATAGAAATGCATAAAAATGATTCCTTCTAATCTATGCTGAGGATACTACTTTAGATAAAATGTATTCTTTGTAAGTGCCTAAATAAATTCTGTTTGTGCGACTCTTCATGAAGCATGACATGGTTCTGTATTTGAACCACGCTTTTAAGTTGGGTTTTTCCTTTTCCGTGGCTCCCTACCTCTCTCCTCCCTGCCCCTCTCTCTTTCTGTACTGTATAATAATCCTGCATTGTGTCAATTTTGATTGAAAAAAGAAACCAAAAAACTGACAGAATTCCTCTATAGCGATTTAAGAAACAGCACATAGTGTATGAATTTGGCAATGTGTTCTGGAATTATGGGGAGACATGTAAGGCAGGTCAGAGAAAACCAGCCACAGTTAAGCAGGGTCAGCTGTGCCAACATTATGGGAGGTGGTCTGAATGTGTGTGCATGCACACACATGTTGTTTATTAATATATGCAAAAACCAAGGCTCAAAGCCAACTTGGGAATTAAACAATGTAAACAGAGTCAGCTCCTACACACCTCTTTGCCACCAGGTGTGGAGCATTGAGTGCCGCTCCATTAGGTAGCAAGGCTGTGGTGATGGGGTTTGCTCAGTGATGTCGTCTAGAAGGTCAAGCAGAAAAACAGTTTCTTTCCCAGAAGCCTGTGGATAGACAGTCTGTTTGCCCTAATGCATTCTGATTAGGCATGTGACTAACGCTAACCTTCTTTCTGATTGCACGGAGTAGAATCAGCTTGGCCTTTGTCTATAGACTAGGCATTGTGAGCACATGTCAGGGAAAGAGGTGCTGTTAATGAAAAAGAACTCAGGGATGCTGGGTAGCTGGCACAGGGATTTGCTGTCCCCTAAAGTCACAAGGGCTGCCCAGATGGCTTTCTTGGTAAAGTGCTTACTGAGGAAGCATGAAGACTTCAGTTTGGATCCCCAGCGACCACATTGAAGCTGGGCATTGTACGTGTCTGTAATCCCAGCACTTGGGAGGCAAGAATAGGAGGAACCCTAGAGCTCACTGATCAGGTGGTCTAGCCAAATCTTCAGTTCCATGTTCAGTGAGACTCTGTCTCTAAAGAAATAAGGTGGCGATCATTCGAGTAAGACAGCCTGACTTCAACCTGTGGCCTCCCCTCACACAGGAACACATGCATAATGCATACATCCAATAAAAATAAAACTGAGTACACATGGTCAGCCTACTCTGTTTGTGAATTTTGTATTGTAGTTTCAGCCATGGAAAGAAATTATTGGGAAAAAGTTTGAAGAACGTTCTGAAACTAATCTTGAAATTGTTATACCAAGTACTATTCTGAATTCATGCGACTTAAAAGATGGCAGGTGGGGTCACAGAGTCGCTGTGTTTGATGATAAATGTTGTGATGGTTTCATGTCCCCAGAAGCATTTACACGCCTTCCTCAAGATCATGGCCCACAGAAGTGCCTGAACTCCCCTAACCAGTCTCGTGATCATAGCCTGTTCTCCACATTTTCTCATGATGACGTGTATTTAGGATCTACCCATTGGTGTCAAGATTATTTCAGTCTTCATCGAAATGATTACATTTTGATATTCTGTGGTTTTGTGGATCTTTATTCTAATTCAGAAACCACCGTTGATGTATGTTCTTCTGTGTTTCCACAGTGTAAAATGCTTTAAGGAACGCTATCCTATTCCAATTTGAAATCATTAGGTTCTGGTCACTTATAGACTATCAAGGCATTTGCCAAGAAATAAGATTCACAAACAGAAAAGTGTATTGCACTATTTCTACTTTTGTATAGACAGAGGTGGGATACCTGTGGACAACGGACTTCGTGTAACAGACTCTGTATCAGTTTGGTAAAATGGAACGAACAGTCTCCATCCTGTGGCTTGGTTTAGATGGAATTTGGTTAACTTTCTGGGTTCTGTAGGACTTAGGTGATACAACACAACCTGCACATTTAAAAATCCTGAGTTAGGGTGGGGGGAGGTGGGAATCAGGAAAACTGAATCCATTTGTGACAAGTGAATCGGTTCTTAAAATATATTTTATCATTTTATGTATATGAGTGTATTGCCTGCCATGTATGTAAGTGCAGTGCCCATGGAGGTCAGAAGAGGGCATCGGATCCCCTGGAACTAGACTTACTGATGGTTGTTAGATGTCATGTGCTAGGAATTGACCTGTGTCCTCTGCAAGAGCCGCCAGTACACTTAACAGGTGACCCGTCTCTCCAGCCCCATGAATCAGCTTTATAAAATCAAATGTTTCATCACTGAACATGATATAGGCTGGTTGACTTTGAGTCTTCCCACCATTTTTATAAATAAGAACATAGAAAGTACTTGAAAAACATCTCATTCTTTCACTAAAGAAAACTGTTCTCCTTCTACCCAGTGCAAAAAATCTGAAAATTTAGAAGGACACATATCACAAGAAATGGCTGTAGAACTAAAATTAGTTTTAAGCAAACCAGCTACATAGGACTACCATCTTGTTATTGGGGAAAGTCATCTGTCAAAAGCCTAAATCATTGGCATAGAAGGAACAAGAAGCGTGCATCATAACTTCCAAGCCAGTATTACTGAAATGGAACAAGTGTGACTAAGATCTCTCAGGTTTATGCAGTGTCTCTCCTGGTACTACACATTGCTTTAATTGCTTTCAGCAATGCCAATTTTTTAACAAAATATTTTATTTATTATTTTTATTTTATGCGTATGAGTGTATTTCCTGCATGATGTGAGTGCACCCGTGTCATGCAATGCCATGGAAGTCAGAAGAGGGCTTCAGATTCCCCTGGAACTGGAGTTAAGGACTATTCGTAGCTACCATGTGGGTGATGGGAGTCAAACCCAGGTCCTCTGCAAGAGCAGTCAGTGCTCTTAACCGCTGAGCCATCTCTCCAGCCCCAGGAATGCCAATTTTAATTACTGTGCATTTCACATTGAATCTCAAAGATACTGCTATATGCATGATTCAAAATAATATATTTTGATTTAAACTGAATTGCTTTGATATGTTGCTAATCACAAATTTGGTTATTTTAATACCTTTTTTATCCTGCAAAAAAGGTTTTTGTAATATCCTTTTCATTGATTAGTCATAACATGGCAAATGTGTGCTTGCTGTTCTTGAGAAGTGACCCAAGGTTTTTTTCTATACCCAGAGATGATAAGTTCTTTTAGAATTCCCTAACAGTATACATATTGGGGTGAGGGAGTCTCGTATTGATGGTGTGTCCTGAAACTTAAATTTTACCTGCAATCCAGATTGCTATAGTTAACATTTGCTCTTTATGTATCAAATCAGATGTTTACCGTGTGTACTGAGAACACCACAAAATGAACTATCCAAAGTCCATGATTTTAATGTGTTTTGGTTTGTAAGTGAATTACAGTAGTTTCTTACACATTTTTGGAAATCAATTGTATAAGAAATCATGAATCTACTAGATACATTGTATGGATAAAAATTTCATACATACAGAAAAGATGTACAGAGAGTATGTTAGGTATTGTGAGTCATCTGGAGGAGCCCAAGATATATGGGAAGTTGTATAAAGGTCATATGCAAATTAACTGCCTTTTCTTTTCTAAGAGACTTGAACAGCCGTGAATTTTGTTT